ATTTGCCAAGAGGATATAAATGTATATTCTGTGAGCCAGCAATCCCATTCTTAGGTTCGTATACTCCAGAGAAACTCTTAGGACGCATGTGTGACTGTTCAGAGCTTTTTGTTCCCCCCAGTGTAGGGGTGGGGGATTTAATCAGGAGAGGAACCTTGGTGGAGGACTAGCCTAGGTGCTGGCATGTTCTCTTTCTTGGTGGGTAGTGAAGGCATGGATATTTCTTTACGTGCTAATGTTTGTGGTCATCAGACACCTCTTTTCTGCACTGTTTTCTAACTATCTTATCTAATTTCCTTTTATGGAGTTGTTAATAGTGTTTTTTGGTGAAGAGCTTATATTCACTCTTAATTGCCTCACTATATCTTCAGGTTTTTAAAACCTTAAGTAAATATTTGAAAAAAATAAATGTCCTCAGTGCTGAAGGCAACATAAGAATCTTCCATCTGAGAAAACCCCAAAGGCCAGTGTGTTATGTATGTGGCTTGTCGAAAGCAGTGTTGACTGCTTTTCTCAAATTCACAGGTTAACTTCGAGGAATTTAAGGACAGTTTTGTGGCTGTGTTGTCATCACAGGCTGGTCTTGCCTCCTCAGATGAAGACATTGGGTCTTTGGAGTCAGGCAAGAGGACTTTTTGGCCTTCTTTACGTCTCTGCGTGATTCTGTGACTTCTGGAATATGATGTTGTACCTGAACAATGCCGCAGGTCTATGATCCCCAGCTGCATGGACTGGGACCATGGACTGCAGCACCTGGGTTTTTTTCTTCTTTGGCTTCCTTATTTGTGAAATGGTTCTGTAAGGGGAAAACTCTTGTACTTTCGTCTGCACTGCACAAAATCCTCTGAATACCCTGGCACTTCTGGTCACTAGATCTGTGTAGTTTCCCTCCCACTGGGCCATTTTGCAACACCAGCTGGGTGTCCTGCAGTTCAACTCCATTCTGACACCATCCCCCTGGACAGAGCTGCAGACCCCACAGGCTAAGACAGCAATGCCTTCAAAGAACAATCTCAAGTCCAGCTTGTCTCCTTTGCTTCTGACCTCACTGCTAAAGATCGTAGGTGCCCACGGCCTCCTCAGGTTCAATTAATTTGCTAGAGCAGCTCAGGGAAACCCATTACTGGATCAGCAGTTTATTGCAAAGGCTGTAACTCAGGGTGAGAGATGCATGGGCTGTGGGCAGAGGCTCAGAGCCCCCATGCCCTCTCCAGGGCTCACTCTTCCCCGGTCTCCCCGTCTTCACCAACCCAGAAGGTCTCTGAGTGCCGTCCTTTTGGGGTTTATGGAGGTTTTGTTCCACAGTCATGACTGATCCAGTGATGGGGCATCAGTGATTGAATTCAACATCCAGGCTCTGAGCTCTCTAGAAGTCAGGGGAAGGGCTGAAAGTTTCCAACTTCTAATCACATCCTTGGTTTCCCTGGCAACCAGCCCATCTCAAGGTGTGGTTCTCAAAATTACCTTATCAGCATAAACTTGGGTGTGGTTGCTGTTATCACTTAGGAAATTAAGTGAACTTAATTTAGAGGGCTTTAGAAGCTGTGCAATGGATGAGAGGAAGACCAAATTCATATTTAAGTCACAATCTCACAAATGCTCTCTCAAGTACTATCTAGTGCTGAACTTCCAGTGAAGGGTGTAGATAAGATAAAGTGGGTGTGGGGAGGTGGGAGAATTTGTTCTTCCCAAGAGCAGTGCAGGTGTAAGGTGCTGGCCAGGCTGGGAGGCTGGTGGAGCAAGCAGGATGCCACCAGCTGAGGCAGCCCTCCGCCTGTCTAAGACAATAGTGCTCTGTGCTCATGGCACTTGTTAAAATCGTGGTTTCCAGTGGGACCCGTGGAACAAAGGCAATATTGCAAAACAAGTGAAGAGGGGCTTTGATACTTGTCAGGAGGTGGAGGGAGAATTCTGGAGGGAGGCCTGCTTTGAGGTGTGGCCTGTGGGTCCACTGGGAAGGTGATGGCGGACGTGCTCCTTAGAAGATGGGCCAACTCCTTGGCTGGCAGCGCCTGCCGTGCTCTGGCCGGATGACCCGTTGAGGTTGCATCTGAGGAGTGCTGGGAGGGAGAGTGCAGTGGCCAGCGGGTCCCTTCCTCCCCCACAGTGCAGGAGTTCGAGGCATCTGCCCCACACAGGGCCCTTGTCGGCCCCCAGACCCCGGGAGGGGCCTTGGTCAGGCGCAGGTGCATGACGGGCAGCGGGTGCCATTGGGAGGTTTGGCGCTTATGTACCTTTCATGTAGATTCCAGTGAGCCCCCGAGCGCCCCCCACCCCTGAAATCCTGTGGCTGATCATTCCCATTACTCAGGTGAGGTTTTCTCGTCTGGAGCTAGGCCCTTGGGGAAGCACTTGCGGCCTCCCCTGGGGCTGAACTCCGTTGGTGTCCCACAGCCTGCTGCTGGATCCACATGGGAGCCCTGACCTGGGGGAGAGGAGGAGCTGATGGGGCAAGAGTTTGATAAGGGGGTGGAGTCAGAACGGGGGAGGAGTCTGATAAGGGAGTGGAGTCTGCCCGGGGGTGGAGTCTGCCCGGGGGGAGGAGCCAGCTTGTCAGCTGGCCGCCCTGAGACCTGAGGGGTCTGGTCATTGGTTGCCTTGCCTCAGGTTTCTCTTCCCTGAGGTGGGAAGAAGGCCACTTGCCTTTCCTGATTTGGGGTGTGATCGCGTCACCCTGGGCATGAAGGTGGCTGCGAAAGGCCACGCCCGTGTCATCGCTCCCTTTTCTGTGCTGAACTCCTGTGAGTTGGCAACTTGTGTCCTCTTCGTGACTGGTGCTTTTCTCTGCCAACGCCCGTTTTGTTTTGTGTTGTTTTTCTCTTCTTTGAATTTTCAGAGCTTTCCTCAGTTACCCAGTCAGCGGGTGGGTCAGTCATAGGCCTGCCTGAGGTGGCTCGGCCAGGGCTGGTGCACACGGGCGGCCCCTGTTGTGAGAGCCCAGTGAGCCCTGCCCCTGCCCCCCGGGGCTGTGTGCGTCCCATGCGGGCCACCCTCCCGGTCTCCCCCATGGGCTTCATCCCTGCCTCCCCGGCGAATCCACAGCATCCCTCTCTCTGGCTTTCTAATCTGCCTGCTGGTCCTTCCCAGCGACTCATGCCAGGGTTGGAAACATGTGCTTTGATGCTCCGGGAATGTGCGTGGCACCCTGGGGCCAAATGGCTGGGGTTTTGAAGAACATTCTGCTTGTCAGTCGTTCTGCTCCTTCAGTGAAGGCCATCACAGAACACATAACCAAAAAAGTTGTTTTTTTTTTTTACTTGTTTAATCTCTTGGCTATGCCTCTCAGCATGCTGAGAGCATTCTGCTCCTATGAATAAATATGCACACACAGGAGACATAAGGCTCGGTTGACCTTGTGGTCTGCCAGCAGTCTGGGCAGCAGGTGGGGACTGGCCGTGACCCCCAGAGGTTCCCACTGAGAGGCCACAGCTCTGTGCTCTGTGGGTGGTGAGACGCTGCCCCCTCCTGGCCTGATTTGCCATGTGGACACATTACTGGAGATGCATTTCCCCTTGGTGGAGGGAGAACGTGACACTTTGGGAGAACATTTATGAATTGTGTGATTTCTGGGCGTCTCATTGCTCTGAGGAAAGTGCTGAGAAGCGGAAACGATGAAGAAAGGGGTACCATATCAAGGGCAGGTGGGCCTCCAGACGCAGACCAGGGGGTCTCAGGAGGGGAGAGGCAGGAGCCCATTCAGGCCAAGGGCGCAGACGTGGTTCTGGGTCATGACCTGCGGTGAGCAGCGAGTGGCTGAGCCCCAGGCCGGGGTCCGCGTGCTGTCAGGCGCACCTGGTTTCCCGAGTGTGTCCCCGCTGCCCACTCCCACCTGACACAGCCTTTCTCTTCCCGCTGCTCGCTGCTCAGAAACCAGCCACAGCCTGTGTGTAGACAGAAACCAGAGCAGGTGCGGAGCCTGCATGCAGGCCCCTGCTCCCTTCATGGGGTGCTCAAGCCTTCCGTTTGCTCCCTGTCAGTGGGAACGCCCCTTCTTCTCCAGCTGCCCCAGGAGTTCCGACATGGGAAGAGTGTACAGGGCCGGACCCTGCCCGTGATAAGCTCACAGGGTCCAGGAACATGGTCATCCTGCCTGGTCCTCAGTTTCTGTGCGTTGCTGGCATCACTGTTTCTCCTGGAGGCCTGGTTGGACCCAGCCTCCTCCTCTGATGCTCCCAAGGTCAGAGGCTGCGGGCCAGTTTCGAGTGAGGAGGAGAGAGATGAGGTGGTAGGTAGTCCCTGGGAACCTGACCCACCTGTGTGAGACGGTCTGTTTTCCTGGCCACACCTTGCTTCCTGGGACTCTTTGCCTTTCTCTCCAACTGGCCCCTTCTGGGTGCTTCCCTTCGAACCCATGTTCTCTCCTGGTCACAGCCCAGGCTGCACCCCCACTCCCCAGTCTCTCTGGCCACTCAGATTCCCGCAGAGGCAGTGTCATTTCTTCTCTGCTTGCGGAGTCCCCATGCTCCGCAGATGTGGGCAGGTAAGGAGGGATAAGGAAGTGCAGGGGTGTATTAGGGCTTGAGGGACCCTCGTGAATCCCTAGCCGAAGTCCACACCTGCCTCTGCCCCCGACTTCCGACCCATGCGGAGTCTGAGCCTGCCTGACTGTGCTGGGTTCCTTGCCTCTGTGTGCTGTCCGGGTGGGGTCCTCTAGTGGGGTGGGGTCAAGTCGGTGGGAAATGACCTTCTGGTCACTAGAGCACTTGGGACTGTTGTAAGGTTATTTCTTTGTGTAAAAATCTAGATTTCTTAATTAGTTTTCTATCACATAACAAAAGCATATTTTGCTTGGAAACGCTGAAGCAGCACCGAGCGTTTAGGATGGAAAGTCCTGTCTCCCAGACTGGCTGGCTCAGCCCCAGCCCCGCGTTGGCCCTTCCCTGTGTTCTTCTGGCGTTTTCTCTGTCTGTCCCCGAGAGCCACATTGCACCTCCGAATCTGCATCTTCGTGAGCACAAGTGGGCCCAAAGAGCCCCACACACCTCCCATTTTCTTTCCAGTTGCCTCCCGGGCTGTGCCCTCAAAGGATGTGAGTGGCTCTAAGTGGTACGGCCGTCGGAGCCAGCCTGAGCCCTGTGGCGCTGCAGGTGGAGCCCCAGGTTTACCGGAGCAGCCGGTCAGACCCAGTGCGAGGAGCCAGCTCTGCCGCTCGGCCTCCCTGGAAAGCGTGGAGGTGGGTGGACCTCCCCTGGGCACCTCCCCCAGTCACTGCTCACATGACATGACACAGGAGGATGGGAGAGGGCATCTCGTCGCTGGAAGAGGGGCTATTTGGGGACCTCCGTTCGGTTTTTAGGTGTCTCTGGGTCTCCCTGTCTGCAGGGCAGTTCTGGCCACGGAACATCCTCCTTCAGAAACGGGGGCCTCGGAGGATCCCCTCTTCAGCACCACCCTCCCCTGGCCCTGCAGGAGGAGGGAAGGTTATTCGGCTGAGGGCAGAAAAAGCAGGTGTGCCACAGCCACGGTCACCCGCGTCCAGCACTTGGAGCAAGGCTCACCCTGCACAACTTGGCGGGCTCGTGATGGATGCCTCCAGGGCCCTCACTGAGACTCCTTGAGCAGTCCAGTGTGGGAGGCTTCGGGCCTTTGTGTCAGAAAGGACATCCACGGGGCCGATCCTCCCCCTGCGGGTTAATCGTAGCTGACATCCTTCTCTTTCTGTTTTTCCAGAGTCTCAAGTCTGATGAAGAAGCCGACAGCGCGAAGGAGCCTCAGAATGAATTCTCTGAAGTCCAAGGTAAAGCCTGGCCTTGTGGTGATGCCCCCTCTGGTCAGTGCTGGGCTGTCAGGCAGCAGGCTGCCAGCGAAGGAGAATTTCCTGGGAGATGCCCAGTGTGGGTGATCTCTCTGGGGTGCACTTCTCCTGGGGAGGTCCCAGCTCTGAGATTCCTGAGGTCAGACCCTGGGGCAGGGACTGCTGGCTAAGAGAGCAGCTAATTGGTTGGCTAGGGTCACAGTGATCCTCCCGACCAGCAGGAATGGGCCAGGGGACCCCTTCCTAATGTGCCAGGCCTGGACTAGCATCTTCCCCCGTCACCAGAGGCCATAAATGTGCCCCAAGTGGAGGGCGAGACGTGGCCCTGGTCCCGGGAACCTGGCGGAGCTCCTGGAAGGCAGCCACAGGTGTGCTCAGCAGTGCTGGGTACATCAGCACGTGGGTGTGCGGGTTCCATAAGGACGCCTCTCACCAGAGTGAGTCACAGGGCAGAATGTGCAGGATCATGGCTCCAGGGGCAGGCCAGAACTGACCTGGGGCTTCTCCTGAGTGAGAGGTCTGCACTGGTGCTGAGCATCGTCCAGACTGTGGTCCTCAGGGGCCGAGGCTGCTGTTGGCTGAGCTCTGAGCGTGGGGATGTCAGGCAAATGAACCACGTGTCTGTGCTACTGGATGAAGCAGATGCACCTCTTTGTGTCCAAAATCACTTCCTAAATTAACTGGACTCAGAGTAAATCTAGGGGACGAGAGGAAGGGCTCCGGGGAGGTTATTCACAGAGTGATTTTGGGCTCTCTGCCCAGAAACAGGTTGGGGTTCTACTTTCCATCCAGGTTAGAACCGACATTCGTGCACAGACTTAACTCAGAGGACTTACTCACCTTGTCTGCCAGCCCTGAGAACACACCCTGGTGTCAGAAGTGCTTTTCCCTTTTTTTGGTTCCTGCCTTTGTTTATTTACTTAATTTTAAAATTAAAATGCATTTATTTGGCTGTCAGGTCTCAGCTGTAGCCTGCAGGATCTTCATACGTCGTTTGGGACCTTTCATCGCAGTGCTCAGGTTTCTCTCTAGCTGCAGGGCACGGGCTTAGTTGCTCCACGGCACGTGGAATCTGAGTTCCCTGAGCAAGGATCAAACCCGAGTCCCCTGCATTGCAAAGTAGATTCTTAACCACGGGACCATCAGAGAAGTCCCGTTTTTCCATTTTTACCTAGAATGTTCAGATGTTTTAAGCTGGAAGGGGTCTTGGAAGTAGCCCTCCCCTTGTGTTTTCCTCAGGCCCATATACAGCATCATTCATGAGCAAGAAAACCTAGCATTCCTCAGGAAAGGACTTTCTGGTTATTAGTTGGGTTATCACAGTAAACGCCAAAATGACTCCTCTCTGGAGAGCTCCAGACCACTGACCGAGAGCCGGGATCTGGTCAGGTGCAGGGGACCCTGGTCCTGTGTTGCACAGGGTGGTGCAGTCTGGGTGTGGAGGGAGCTCTGCTTTGAAGCCTTGCTTATCTAAAGAGAGCTCTTTGTGGGCACCCCAAGGTCTGTCCTCTCCCAAATTGTGTTTCTGTGGCAAAGCTTCAGAAACCTCAGTAAGCCACCTGGCTAAGCTAGAAAAGGTATGAAACCTGGCCGTCTGTCACCTGGACTCACTGCTGAGTCTGCATCTCAAAGACACATGGCTCCTGATGTGAGGTGGTATGGAAACAGCCCACCTTGAGGTGTTTTTGCTGTGGAAGAAAAAAAGAAAATAGATAACACTCAACGTCCATCCGAACTAGCTTTTGGTGCTAAGTTCCAGTTTACAGGAGATGTTAGGGATGGAGGTACAGGAGGACAGGGAGTGGGGTCCGGCGGGAGGTGATCAGCAACTCTGGGGGAGTAACCACACACACTGGGAAGATTCTGCATTGATGCTGAGTTGAAGAAATCAGCCGTCGGGAGACTTGGGAGAGAACTGGGACGTCGTCGTTGGGTTGTAGGGCCATCGTCCCACTGGGGTCAGGAGTGCATACGAAACACTCGGGTGAGAAGACGGCAGCTGGGATTTGCCTTCAAATACTTGGGCCAGGGACTTCAGCCGTGATTTACTGTCTAGGACTCCGCACGCCCATTGCAGGGGCCCCGGGCTCCGTCCCTTGTCTGAGAACTGGAGCCCGCATGCCGGGACACCAGCCGCAGAGAGGAGGGCGCCGCTGCTCCTCTGTGTTCTGGTCCCAGCAGCAAATGCGTGTCCCAGGGCCCTCCCTGGGGCGGGAAGCCCAGCTTCCTGGCCTCACCTCAGCCTCACCCGTCAGCTTTCCGGCTGAGGGAGTTTTCTGCCCTTGTCTCCCGCCCTGAATCCTGAGGACACGTGCCCTCTGCTCAGGCCGCCCCGCCTCTTCTGAAGCCCATCTTGGGTTTCTCTGCACAGACTGGGTTTCCCTCGGCTGGCGAGTGCCTTCCCAGGCCCACCTTCTGGGAGGACAGGCGGGAAGCCATTGCTTGTTCAGAGAGATGTTCCCTCAGGTGGCCCCGCATGTGCATCCCCCCCACCCATGGCCTCAGGCAGACGGCCCTGAGCCCTGTGCTCCGGTCGTCTCCGTGGAGCCTGCAGTCCCCGCAGGTCCCCCTGGCACCCAGGAGTCAGGGGGAGGCCGCGCCCGCCGAGCACAGGTGGTGAGGTCACAGAAGGTGCGTGAGGAGGCCGCGGTCCTCATGGCGCTGGTGCCCGCGTGCAGGTCAGGGAGGAGAGTGTCGGCCAGGCCACCCTGTCGTCCCTCGTGTCCTGAGTGCTCAGGCCCCCGCCTCTTCTGCAGCATGGGTGATGGCAGAGGGTTCGCCTTCCCAGAGCAGATCATCTCCTCGTGGGCCCAGGAGGGCGTTCACAATGGCAGGGAGGTCCTGCAGGTGGCGGCCGGTCTTGCAGCTGCTCCAGCAGAGGTGTCTGGGCGGGGAAATTAGGGGGAGATGCTGCCCATGAGGGAGGCTGGACAGAGACCCTCGCAGACACATGCCCCATGGAAAGAAGGCCCATCATCCTCGCTTTTTGCTTTATTTTTTGATCTCGATATGTAGAACATCTTAACTTAGAAACATAATAAGTAAACAGCAGAGAAAGCCCACAGCCTGAAACAAATCCCTTAGAGGGTAAGTTTCAGTATCTCAGACTCACCCCGCAGTGCGTGTCGGCCTCCAAGCCGATCCTCGGTCCTGGAAAACAGGAGGGCATCTTAGTGACTGCAGCACTAAGTGGGCGTGGACATCAGGAGGCGGCGCCCACTGTGATTTCATTGCTGAAGAGCCTGCTCTCAGTATGTCATGGAGGCAGCTTCCAGTTTGCTCCGCACACTTTAATGTCCTGTCATTTTTCTCCCAGAACTCTCGGGGCCATGGAGAAGCGTGGAGATTCAAGTCCCCGTCTCCCGGTTTACAGGAAGGGCTTCCCCGTGGGCCCTGCCCCACCTGTGTGTCTGCAACTTGTGGTCACAAGCACCAATCGCTGAGAGAGCAGCCCCCGCACCAGTGTTATCACTAGGCCGCAGGCAGGCGCGTGGGCCTTCCTGGCCTGCTCTTTTTCTTACTGTGGTAAAATATAGAAAGCACAGTTTTTCTGTTCCTTCAACTTTACCTTCCGCAATCCCTGGGGGGAATGGCTGTGAGTCTCAGAAATGGTTGGCCGTGGCTCATCGCACTATCGATCATGTTTCCACCAACAGAACCCGTGTTGTTCCTATGTCTGTTCGTGCTGTTTAGAGCTATATTAAGGATTCTTTGTGTCTGACATGGCAAGAGCTCAACTCAGACTGGCTTGGGCAAGAGGAGGACATCAGGGGTCTCTGTGATCAGTTGTGAAGAAGGAGGATGTTTAGGCTTGGGGGGTCCCGGCTCTGGGAGGTGTCAGGACTCTGCTGGCTTCTTAGTCTTGACTTCAGGTCTAGCACCCTCGCGCTGCTCCCCAGGACCCCGTGGTCTATACAACACTTGATTTGGCAGAGACAAAGCCCTTCTCTAGCCTATCAGTCCCCAAAGTCCTCGGCTTGCATCTGCCCCCTTCTCTTTCTGTCCCTTTGTCCAAGAAGGGGGACCCTGTCCAGCCTGAGTCATGTCCACCTCCGAGGCAGGGACAGTGAGGGGAGGAGCTGTATGTTGACAGTGGGAGGGGGACCTCAGTGTTGACAGGGACCTGGGGAGAGAGACCCCAGAGGGATGGGAGCAGGCGAGAGGCTCCACTCAAGAGATGGAGACTTTGCAGACAGAAAAGGAAGGTACTGGGACAGTGAAGTCTGGCCTGTGGGAGCCACAGGTGTCCGGAGACCCAGTCATCCTGCCTGTCCGATGGGCCGTGCTGTTTTCAGAGTCTTGACTTCAGTGTGGACGAGAAGGTGAACCTTTTGGAGCTGACCTGAGGTCATGATGGTGGGCGGGGTCGGCCAGCAGGCAGTCTTGGCCTGCTACCCCCAGGAGCTGAGCTTCTGCCAGTAAGAGCCTCGCTGCGGGGGTGGAGGGGGGCATGGGGTGCGACTGGCCAGACTGGCCTCCTCGCCCAGGGCACAGGCAGCCTGCAGGACGAGAAAGGGTGCTTCCAGCACGGTCACAAAGCACTATATAGCGATTTGGCCAAGAATGCGTTCCTTTTTAATTGGGTTTGGCTCCAGTTGAGCTGGATATTCAGGCCATCCGTCTGCTGAACCGGTTGGCATAGAGATTGTTACTGTGTTTTTATTGATTCTCTGAAGCTACAGAAAAGGTTGGCAGTAATTCCAGTCTCCATCTTCAAAACTTTGCATCTCGTTAGGTACTGACAAATGAGACCTCTGACATCAGGCCACTCTGCAGAGGGGCCCAGAGGAAGACTGCTTTGGGAGGATGAGGAAGGGAGACAAGCTTGGTGCTTCTCCAGTGGGAGAAACAGGCACCGGGATAGCTGGTGGACTGAGCCTCGGGCAGGGCCTGTGGTGGCCGGACAGTGACAGGCGTCGCCTCTGCTCTGGGCAATTCCCTGTCACTTAGTCAGCTGCCAGGCTACAGGTGGCAAGGCTGTGACCAGGCAGGATAATGGGTGGCCAGCCTTCTCCCCTTCATGCGTGCAGTCCCAGGTTGGGTGCTCGGGATCCCTGGGTCCGAGGCCCAGCTGCAGGCAAGACAGAGCGAGGATAATTTCCCACCTCTTCTAAGGCCGTCTGGAGAAGGAAGAGTGCCCGCCCCGGGCTTGAACTTCCTGGTTCAGACACCTGCTAGAAACTCCATTGCAAGTCAGTTGGCTTCTTGCTGTATGTACTTCTGTAAAACAGATTCAATAACTGCAGAAACCATCTTGGTAGGCGGAGGGTCAGGCTTCCCAGGTGGCCCTAGTGGTAAAGAACCCACTAGCCAATGCAAGAGGCGTGAGAAATGCGAGTTCGGTCCCTGTGTCAGGAAGATCCTTTGGAGGAGGGCATGACAGCCCACTCTAGTATTCCTGCCTGGGGAATCCAATGGACAGAGGAGCCTGGAGGTCTACAGTCCATAGGATTGCGTAGAATTGGACACGACTGTAGCGACTTGGCTGGCATGCACAGGAGGTGGGTGAGAGCCCAGCGCCAGCCACTGCTCAGCACTCTTAGGCCAGCTGAGTTTGTTCCTTCAGACCAGCTCGCTAGGCCCAGAGCAGTGTCCCCAGTGATCCCTCCCTCCTTCCTGCAGGGAGGAGGAGGAGCAGATGGCCAGGGAGCAAGATAAGGCGAGACAAGACCTGGAGAAAGCTGAGCAGAGGAACCTGGATTTTGTGAAAGAGACGGACGACCTCCATTCCGCCCTGGAGCAGCTCGCGGAGGAGAAGGTCAGGTAGGTGTTGCCGGGGTGCTGGCCCAGGGTGGATGGTGGACACCGGCTGCTGCCAGCTGAGGCCCTGCTGTCTCTCCCGAGCGCACACCAGGAAGCCCGCAGACCAGGCGTCACCCATGCAGTGGGCTGAGTGGGCTCCCGCAGAGTCAGCCCGGCTGGTGGCGGGCAGCCTGATTGCACACGCCCTTCCTCTGCGGCCAGGGCTGCCCTCCCAACGTGCCCACAGGACAACGGTGACTGATTTCAGGCCATCAGTCGGGGAGCTGAGAATGGATTTGCGTTGGTCTCATCCTGGTTGACCTGATTTTCCCGACCACCCTGAAGGGACTCGGTGAAGTTCTTTCTGCATCGGAGAATCGGAGACTCGTTATCTCCATCCAAGAATCTGGTTGGGGGACACAAGGCCTCGAGGGCCATGTAGGTGTTTGGGTTTTGCTCCATGAGTAACACAGTATCAGTGGTGCACTTTTAGAAATAGCGTTTGCTGTTGTATTAGGTTACTTTAACAGAAAAGTATTAAGGGATACATGTTCATTGTAGAAAACTTAGAACATACACACACAAGGAAAAATAAAAACAAACATTTCACGTCCACAGATGTTATCACTCCTAACATTTTTCCTGAGTCCTTCGCTTCTTCCTGTCCATGTGGTTGCTTTCAGAGAGGTCTCGTTGCTGTGATGTTGCATATATTTTCTGAGCACCTGTCATGTGGCTCTGGCATATGTTACTTCACCTTTCCGCTTTCAAGAGGGAAGTGATATGATCAAGTGTGTAAAACTCGCCCCAAGATCTGCAGGCTGTTAGGTTAATCTCGCTCATCAAACTGTTTTCCTGAGTGACAGCTGCCCTTGCGCCCCAAAGGTCTGTGGTGAGTCTGAGGGAGGCTGAGCCAATCATTTCTGGTTTTGGACCACAATCAATTGATTGTGGACCCAGCCAGGCTCTGCCGAAATAAGAGTTTCCAGTCATCCTCAGCCTAGATATACTGGGTTTGAGAATCCTGTTAAGCAACTGTTTCAGTGATGTTGTTCAGCCAGTCATGTCCGAATCTTTGTGTCCCCATGGACTGCAGCACACAAGGCTTCCCTGTTCTCTACCATCTCCTGGAGTTTGGTCAAACTCATTTCCATTGAGTCAGTGATGCCATCCAACCATCTTGTCCTCTGTCATCCCCTTCTCCTCCTGCCTTCCATCTTTCCCAGCATCAGGGTCTTTTCCAGTGAGTTGGCTCTTGGCATCAGGTGTCCAAAGTGTTGGAGCTTCAGCTTCAGCATCAGTCCTTGCAATGAATATTCAGGACTGATTTCCTTTAGGATGGACTGGTTGCATCTTCTTGCTGTCCAAGGGTCTCTCAAGCATCTTCTCCAACAACACAGTTCAAAAGCATCAGTTCTTTGGCACTGAGCTTTCTTTATGGTCTAGCTCTCGCATCCTTGCATGACTAGTGGAAAAACCATAGCTTTGACTAGATGGACTTTTGTCAGCAAAGTGATGTCTCTGCTTCTAATATGCTGTCTAGTTTGGTCATAGCTTTACTTACAAGGATCAAGCATCATTTAATGTCATGGCTGCATTCACCATCTGCAGTGATTTTGGAGCCCAAGAAAATAAAGTCTGTCACTGTTTCCATTGTTGCCCTATCTGTTTGTCATGAAGTGATGCAACTGGATGCCATGGTGTTAGTTTTCTGAATGTTGAGTTCTAAGCCAGCTTTTTCACTGTTCTCTTTCACTTTCATCAAGAGGTTCTTTAGATCCTCTTTGCTACCTGCCATAAAGGTGGTGTCATCCGCATATCTGAGGTTATTGATATTTTTCCCGGCAATCTTGATTCCATCTTGTGCTTCATCCAGGCTGGCATTTCACATGATATACTCTTGATATAAGTTAAAGAAGCAGGGTGACATTATACAGCGTTGACATACTCCTTTCCCAATTGCAAACCAGTCTGTTGTTTCATATCTAGTTCTCTCTTTTGCTTCTTGAAACCTGCATACAGGTTTCACAGGAGGTATGTAAGCTGGCTTGGTATTCCCATCTCTCTAAGAACTTTGCACAGTTTGTTGTGGTCTCCACAGTCAGAGGGTTGAGTATAGTCAATGAAGCAGAAGTATATGTTTTTTGTGGAATTCTCTAGCTTTTTCTATGACCCAGTGGATGTTGGCAATTTGATCTCTGGTTCCTCTACCTTTTCTAAATCGAGCTTGTTCATCTGGAAGTTCTCGGTTCGCATACTGTTGAAGCCTAGCTTGAATGATTTTGAGCATTACTTTGCTAGCATGTGAAACGATTGCAGTTTTGTGGTAGTTTGAACATCTGTTGGGATTAAAACACAGGGAAATAAAATCTGTCAGTACTTCCACTTTTTCTCCTTCCATTTGCCATGAAGTGATGGGACTCGATGCTGTGATCTTAGTTTTTTGAATGTTGAGTTTGAAGCCAACTTTTCACTCTCCTCTTTGACCATCATCAAGAGGCTCTTTAGTTCCCCTTTGCTTTCTCCCGTTAGAGTGGTATCATCTGTGTATCTGAGGTTGTTGGTATTTGTCCCGGCATTTTGGATGAAATACTCTACGTATAAGTTAAATATGCAAGGTGACAAAATACAGCCTTGATGTGCTCCTTTCCCAATTTTGAACTAGTCTGTTGTTCCATATCCGATTCTGTTGCTTCTTGACCCACATACAGGTTTTTCAGGAGGCAGGTGAGGTGCTCTGATATTCCCATCTCTTGAAAAATTTTCCACAGTTTCTTGTGATCCACATAGTCAAAGACTTTTAACGTAGTCAATGAAGCAGAAGTAGATGTTTTTCTGGAATTCTCTTCCTTTTTCGATGATCCAGTCAATGTTGGCAATTTGATCTCTAGGTCCTCTGCCTTTTTAAAATCCAGTTTGGACATCTGAAAGTTCTTGGTTTATGTACTGTGGAAGCCTAGCTTGAAGGATTCTGAGCATTACCTTGCTAACATGTGGAATATGTGCAACTGTGCAATAGTGTGAACGTTCTTTGGCATTGCCCTCCTTTGGGATTAAAATGAAAAATGACCTTTTCCAGTCCTGTGGTTATTGCTGAGTTTTCCAAATTTGCTGGCATACTGAGTGCAGCACTTTAACAGCATCATCTTTTAGGATTTTAAATAGCTCATCTCCACTAGCTTTAGTGATAAACTAAAATTTGGCACTGTTTTCCCTGCTGATAGGAATGGTTGTTGCAAAAGATCTCTGCAGCGTCTGAGGGGAAGGGCCCCCGCCCTATCTTCTGTCTGCCTTGGGATTCGCTGTGTGCTGGTTTTCTAAGGCTTGTGGTGGAGGCTGGCTTCTCTGTGCCTTCAGTCACCAAGGGCCCTGATGCTGCCTTAATTTACTGATGCATTTTTTGATGACGTGGAGAAGGTTGAATGGCCAAGGGGTACCAGAGACCCACCCAGAGGTCACCTGCTAGCTTGCCCCATGGGTCGAGGGACCCGCTGTCTGCCTTGTCTGTGTGGGGTCACCTCCGCCAGCCCCGCCGGGGGCAGTTCATGAGGCTGCCGCCGCCCCACAACACTGCAACTCGCCTGTCTGTCAGGTGGGAACAAACAAGTTCCCAATGCGGAGGCCGAGTGCGCTGACGGGAGACCCCGGGGAGAGAGAGGCGCAGGTGGCGCTCCCGGGGAGCCTGATGAACCGTGAGCCGTGTGCCTTGCAGATGCCTGGAACAGGGCTACCGGGGGAGGGTGATCCTCCTGTGGTCCGAGGTGGAGGTGGAACGCTCGAAGTTCTGGGAGCGGGCCAAGCGGCAGAGGGCCAGGCTGGAGGAAGACCTGCGGCACCTGCAGGCAGAGGAGACCAGCCTCTGCAAGAAGCTGACCCTGACCCTGAAGGTAGGGGTTTCAGGGTGCTGTGGGGTCCCTCCTCAGGGTGCCCCAGCTGAAAAGAGGGAGGCCACATTGCCCGAAGCTCCCTTCTTCACACCCACCCCTTCCTGGGGCAGGACTGAACCCTCCCCGGGGCCCTGGGAGCTTGAGGCTAAAGAACATTTTCTGCAGCCACAGAGAGAGCCCGTTGCTCAGCCGAAGCGGACGTGTCCTGTCTTCTCCAGGAGAGTGCAGCCCTCCTCTGCAGCCGTGTGGGCTGCAGGATGGGGCCGCGCCTGCCTTCTGATTGTTTCCTGTGTCTGCGGACACCACCTTCCAGGTTTTCCAGTGATCACGTTAAAAAAGGTAAAAAGAAATAGGTGACATTGAGTTTAATAACATTTTACTTACTCCATTACTTTCACAGTGTCATCATTTCAACATGTAATCAATATAATCACATTTTAAGTGGGAGATTTTGCATCCCTCTTTGGGAACCTGGTCTTTAAGATCATTGTAGAGTATATGCTGCACACCTCGATCCAGACTGACCACGTCAGAGATGCTCGGTGGCCTGTGTGGTGTCACTGTGGGGCGGGGGGCCGGGGCACACACACCCACCACCCCACGGGCCTCCCTGCAGCTCTCGCGTCCTGGCCTTGCCCTTTCCCCCGGGACAGAGGTGCTCGCTCTGGGGAGATTGCATGTTTGCTCAGGAGTTTCTGAAGGAGGTTCAGTGACCCTAGGAAACATGTGCTTCCGCTAAGATCTGCAGGGCCTGTCCCTTCTCCCACGTGGCCTAGAGCCGTGGGTTAGGGGCTCCTCCTCCCAGGGCGGGTGTGGGCACAGGCCAGGCACTGGCCTCCAGGGAGTTCAGAAAGAACTGACAAGAGCTGCCTGCAGAGGAAACTCAGATTAAAAAATCAGAGAGGAGGGACTGCCCTGGTGGCCCAGTGGTTAAGACTGCACTCCCGATGCAGGGGGCACGGGTGTGATCCCTGTTTGGGGAACTAGGATCCTGCAGACTGCATGGCGCAGCCCCCAAAAAAGGAAAATCAGAGAGGGATGTGGGGCCTTGAGGCTGCACCTGGTGTTGGCTGCTTTGGCCTCCCCCAGAGGCAGGGTCCCGGGGGGAGGAGCCAGCTGGAAGCGGCCTCGCGTGCCGCGTCCTCCAGGCGGGGTGACCACGGCCCACCCGAGGCGGGGGGAGGAGCACGTGGACCGACCGTCATGGGCGCACGTGGTGCTCGGGTTGAGGGACCACCTGGGAGAGCGGACTGGGGACGCCGCCCTTCCCGGTCCTACACAAGACAGGTGCCAAGTGGGCTTGCTGAGTCACCTTTCATTCTTCGGGTGGATAAACGATGCTTGTTACAGACGCGACCCTTCCTCTTTTATTTTTCCCTCTGTGCTATGCAGCTTGCAGGATCTTAGTTCCCTAACCAGGGAGCAAACCCACATCCCCTGCAGGGAAAGCACTCAGTCCTAACCGCTGCACCGCCAGGAAGGTCCCAGAGACCCTTCCTCTTAAGCCTCATGTCCTCCCGAATCTCCCCTACCCCTTTTGAGCATACTCCCCAACCTCTTGTGGTTTCAGGTGTTAAAAGGTCTCTGTGTTTTCTCCATTTCTCATTTTCACTGCAGTTTTTTCCCCCCGAGTCCCTTCTGTGTGTCCGGTGATGGAAGGTGGTGCCAGGCATAAGAAGTTGGGAAATGACTCCTGCTCCTTGTCGCTCCCGGAGCACTTCGGGTCTAGTGTCAGTGCCCCGTCCTGGACGTCAGGGGCCTGAACTGTTCCCCAGTTGCCGGCCCCGTGCCCCGCTCCTGGGCCTGGTGGCCGCAGTGGCTGGAGGAAGTGTCTGGCTCTGCCCGCAGGACCTGCAGGACCACAACGACGAGCTGCAGGCTTCAGTGTGGGAGCAGCCCAGCGGCCACACGCCCTCTCTGCCGTCTGTCTCGGGCACTTCCGGTGGACAGGCACAGGAGCCCAGTGCTGTCCTAGTGCTCCACCCAGGCCCTGGGCCCTGCGGGCTGTGCTGGTCCTCTCTGCTTCTCCTGACTCACGGCACGCCTTGGCTTGTTGGCCCCACAGCTGATGTCTCGGTTCCAGTCTCAGTGGTGTCTGGATCATTGGACGGGGTTTCCTGGGCACCTGCCACGTGCTGTCACAGCTGGGTCTGCAGCCGGGACTGAGACAGGTGTTTGCAGCTTTCAGCCCCAGGGGGGTGGGCAGAGAAGGCTCCATTCTCTGACATCTGTACCCCTTGTTACAGGCCTGTTCAGATCTTATGTTTCCTCCTGGGTCTGTCTGGGTAGATTGCTTCAAGGCATTTGGACATGGCCGTTTTTCAAAACTCCCGACCGGGCATTTTACTGAATGGTCCTCAGCTTGGATGCCTGGTTAGATGCCTTCTTTATGGGACCATCTTCTTTACTCTGATGTGTGGTGTTCCATGAAACTGTCTTTGGAATACATTTCCTCAGTTTTTGTTTATCTGAAAATGTCTCAAATTCTCTCCCATTTCTGAAGGCCGGTCTTTCTAGGAGCACAAACTTTGATGCGCAGTTGAAGGCTGCCCTCTGCCCTCTGACCGGGGCAGGCTGCTCTGAGTGAGCATCCATTTTCCATTGCTGCGGTGATGAGTTACCAGGAAGTCAGAGGCTTAAAGCATCACAGCTTAGGATTTCACAGTATTTGAGCCTGGAAATCAGAAGTGGGTATGACTGGGCGGGAATCTCAGTGTTGGCAGCCGCCTTCCTTTTTGGAAGCTTGGGAGGAAACCTGCAGACCTCCCATTCTTGATCCACACCTTCCTCCTCTCACGCCAGCAGTGACTGGCTGGTCCTCCTCACGCTCCGTCCTGACTCCCAGTCTTCTGCCTGCTCTTCCACAGAGGAGGGCCCACTGGACAGTCTAGGACTCTTTCCATCTGAGGGCAGTGAATTAACAGCTTTAATTCTGTTTGTTGCGTTGATTCCCCTTTGCTATGAAATAGCACATTTGCAGGTTCTGGATGCAGACGTCTTTTAGAGGCTGTTTTTCTGTCCCCACAGGAGGTGACCTGAGTTGTGTCCTCAGGTTGCTATTAGCTTCTCCATCTTTTGTGGTTTTTCTTTGGTGTGTTTAGATGTGTTATTACTTTTGTTTTAACTTTTATTGAAGTGTTAGATGCACACACACAAAAATGTACATGTGTATGCAACTGGAAGAATCGTTGATAAATTGGACACATTTGTGTCACCAACACCCAGAACATGCCCCCCAGGGTCACTATTCCAAGTCGGGATAGTGCTAACCCCTGGGGAGCTCTGGAGAGCCCCATTTTTTGTTCTCGGTGCTGGTATACCTAAGAATAGAATTGTTGAGTCGTAGGGCATAGATGCGGCTTACTTTTTACTCTCCGTACTTAGAAATATTACACCTGTTGAATATCTAGGTTTGTGTCCTATGAAAATCTTTCAGCCATTCTTTGTAAAACATTGCCTCTCCCCTCAGTGGTCTTTCCAGTTGGGTGTATGATATTAGATCTTCTCACTTTTCCTCCTTTTCCTAACCTCTCTTTCATTTCTTCCATTTTCTTTTGTTGTATGTGGCGCGTTCTGGGTACTTTTTCATGTCTCTGTGTTCCAGGTCAGTGATTCTTTCTTCAGCTATATCTAATCTGCCAATGAGCTTTTATTTTGACATTGGGTTTTTTTTTTTTTCATTTTCAAACATTCCATTTGGTCCTGCCTGATCATTTCTGATAGCTTACTGTTGCTTGCTTGTCCATTTTTTATTTCCATCTTTTATTTAAGTAAACATTTAATAATATTTATCCGAAGTTTGTGTCTGATAATTCCAGTATCTGGGATCTAATTCTGTTGTTTTGGCTTCTTCTGACTCTCATAAGTGGTCCTTTCCCACATTCGTTGTGGTGACCTTGGATTGTGAGCTCATGCTTACATGATGTTCATCTGTGGGAATCCTGAGAGCTGTAGTAGAGGGTTCTCCCGGCAGAAAGGATGTGTTTTGCTTTTGCTAAGAAGACTTGGGAACCACTTCATCTGAGACCACTTTAACCTCTTCCACGGAACCAGCCCACCACATATGGCCCTGGCGTGGTTTCTCCACACTGATGTAGGTGTTGGCCTCAGGGTAACCCCATCTTTGGGTTCCTTAATGCTCACAGCTTTGGTTTCAGCATTCAGGTTTTTGTTTAAGGGCCCCTGGAGGTTTCTATAACCTTCTGTGAGGACACCAGACGTTAGATGATCAGCTTTGCACAGGCTCTGGTTATCTGGTGAATGTGGAGGACTGGGATAAGGCAACCACCATCTTATTTGAGGTCCAGGAAACTGGAAACAGGACCCCCCCCCCCCCGCACCCCAACCCCAGCACCCACATGCACACACACACCTGCCTTGAATCAATTTTGTCTTCCATCCAGGATCCCGAATGACAGTTCAAAATACAGACCTCATTTGTGATCACACTCCTCCTTGAAACCCTCCACGTCTTTTAAAATTCCATTGACTTCTATGTCTTCATTTTTCTCTTTAGTTCCTTATGAGAAAAACGAAATCATACTTATGCTTTGAAGGAGATACTTATGCTTGATATTCTAAGAATAATACATTAAACATATGACATCATGTGCTTTGAGTATTTTTAGATTGAGAAAACGAGAAGCTAATGCCAGATAGAGACCTAATGTTTAGGGGAACGTCAGTGTGACCAACATATGTTAAGGCTAGATTTTCAGGGCAGCAGGCGTGGGTTTCAAGCTGCCTCCCCGTGAACTTTATTGGTCAGTTGCTCATCTGATGCACATCAATGGAGTTACCGTCCAGGGAGACTAAGAGCATGAGCATCAGAAGCCAAGGACTCCTGGCAGACTTGGCCCGGGCAGCCTCTGTCAGTACTTGCTTTCCTTTCCTGAAGGTTCCCCATCGCATCGGATCACCCTCCGTCCACTGATGCGGGCATCTTTCCAGTTTCCTCCAGTGCTGAACTTGGGGTGTAGGATGGGGGCACTCTCCCCATAGGATTCAGCTTTCTGAGTCCTTGTGTTCCTCAGCTTTGTGCTCGTGGTCCCTGGGGGGGATTTCCTTGCAACAACCTCGTGCGGACTCTCACCCAGCATCTTGCATTGGTGCCAGCTGTGAGCACGCTGACGTTTCAGTGAAGGTAAAGAGATGCAGGAACAGGCCAGCTGTAAACAGAGAACCAAGGGGCTGAATACTCTAGTCAATGGCTCTTTTAGGAGCTAAGAAAGCTTTGTTTTTCTGTAGCTTATCTTTTGGGAAATGCAAACCAGAGCAGGTTAACACTGGATACAGGGACGGAGCTGGCCCCTGTGTCCCCATCCAGGGAAGGAAAGTGTGGCTGGGTGTCATTGCAAGACCAGATCTGTCGGGTAACCAGCTCCTGGAATTCCCACACTTCTTTCTTTTTAAAATTTGTTATCCAGAATCGAGTTGGAAAAGCTTTCTGAAGAAATCATGCTCTTGAAAAATGAGGTGGGGAGGATCCGACAAGAGCTTGAAGCTTCGCAAAGGACGGAGGCTGCACAGAGGTAAGGGCCGGCTCAAGTGGTCCCACCCCAACCACCCATCCCAGACACGGCTTGCTCATCGTAGAAGAAGCTCAGAAGGCATTACTGTAGAAAATGGGACGTGTTTACAGATAACCCACATTCCAGGAACAGTCAGCAGAGAACTGTGCTGCCCTCCGACCAGCCTTGATGGGCACGGGAGGGCTCAGGCGTCCTACAGAAATACTGCACAGCGTGCTCCAGGGTCGGAGGAGGCATCCTGCATTCCTGTAGGGCAAGAGGGCCTCTTCCAGCCTTCCTGGGCCAGTGGAATCGGTTTGTTCTTGTCCTGATAGTGATTTCAGCTGTGCTTTTGTCCAAGGTTCATTCCTGGTCTGTGGATATCAGTGTGTGAGAGTCAGGGGTCTAGGGCAGGGGCCTGAGCACTGAGGCAGGAGCTGTGTGTATTGTGGAGGGACACCTGCCAGTGGACGTCAGCTTTCACCATCAGCGCCTCATCTGAGAAGAGTTTGGCTTTTTTTTTTTTTAATAAAATTCAAATGAGCTCAGCTGTAAACTGCCAAGAATGTCGTATTGATTTGATAAAAGTGCCTGACGATTAAAGTGTGGAATCCAGAGTGGATGGTCACCCAGCGATCTTGATTACATTATAGCAATTCTGAAATCCGAAAGGTTTCCCTCCAGGAACCATTTTCCCTAAGTTTGGTGCTGGGACCCTTTTGACAGCAGACGTCAGCAAATGTAAGGCTGTGTTGATCGTTAAGCTTCTGGGTGTGACGAGCACTCCCATGAGCTGGAGAGAGATTACCATGTGCTGTGCAACTGAGGAATGTCGTGGAGGGTTTGTTCCTACTGCTGGCAGGGTTCTTCTGGTTCCCAGGCTGGGATCCAATTGACCAGCAGTGGGCACAGTGCAGGACAGGGACAGACCCATGGCTGTAGGGTATTGAGAGCAGGTGTACACACCAGCCACCACAGCGACTGTGAGCAATGACTGGTCAGTGATACTGTTAACTTTCCTTCTTCAACAGGAAGGAAATTGAGGTTTTAAAGAGACAAGGAAAAGGCCTGCTCTGAGATGGAAGAGCTCTGCACACAGGTTAAGTATTGACCCCTGGCATGAAATGGATGCTCCCCTCCCTTTTCCATTGTTTTGAAATAATCTCAAACTTGGAAAAAGGAAACAGAACCTTTTTATGCAAGTTAGCAGAGTTGCTGGCCCATCAGCCCCGTCCCTCTCCAAGTTGGGAAATCAGTGTGGGTATGACGGGTTGTGGCCCTGTCAGCCACAATCAGGACCTCGTGTGGCTTCAGTCTGCCTGTCCTTGTTCTTAGGACCTGGTGCTTTTGAAGGTTATAAGCAGTTGTTTTGGTGTCTAGAACTTCCTTATAATTGGATTCAGATTATGTGGGGATATTCCCTTCTCATTCCATCCTGTCCAGGAATGCAAGCTTTAGTGACGTCCTTAGATCCTTGGTCAGGTTGTGTTGGCCAGGCTTCTTCACAAAGTTACTTTCCCCTTGGTAATTACTGAACATTTTATGGGAAAATCCTTTGATAGGATGTGAATGTCCTGTTCTTCATCTAACTCTCACCCAATTGTTCTCCCTGTTTTATTCAATGGGTTATAATATGTTACCATCAGTATTTATTTTCATGCTCCATTGTCCCAGATTTGGCCAATAAGAGGCCCCTCTGGGTGAGTTCTGGGCCCTCCAGACAGGTCCTGGTCATTATTTGAGCACTTCCTTACTTTCTAGTGTCCCATGATGTTCCAGGTTTATCTGGTATTTCCCTTGCCCCAACCCTGGAAGCAGCCACTTATCCAAGGAATCCTTTGTGATTTTAGCTCAGAGTTGTACTCGGAGACCAAGATTTGGGTCCTGGGAGTGCTCACTGCTCCTGGGGCATCACTATGTCCAAATGCAGTTAGAGCATGGAACTAGGGAGTGTATATTTATTATGCTCACATGCATGTGGTTTCAGGTAGATTTATTTATACACCTCTCTACCAAAAAATCATAAATTCAAACTGCAATTCCAATATCACAGGGATGATTCTAGCTTTCTCTCTTTCTGTATTTATAACTTATTCCTCTAGCAGTGAAAAGCCTGGTCTCCATCATCCTCAGTGGATGGACTTACTGTTTGATCAGTCCCCCTTAGCCTGTATGTGAATGCCCTCCTGTGTTTCAGCATTGCCCATCACACTGGTCTCCCTCTGCCCCATGAATAAATGCTTTCTGCACTTGGTCTCACTTACTGGCTTTCGTACCAAAGCACACAACTTGGAGGGCTTCCCTTGTGACTCAGCTGGTAAAGAATCCACCTGCTGTGCAGGAGACCTGGGTTTGGTCCCTGGGTTTGGAAGATCCCCTGGAGAAGGGAAAGGCTACCCACTCCAGTATGCTGGCCTGGAGAATTTCATGAACCATATAGTCCATGGGGTCCCAAAGAGTCGGACACGACTGAGCTGCTTTCACTTCACTTCACATAGCTTGGATGTGTCATTATTTTTGTTTTTAACATTTTTTAAAAATTGAAATTATTATTGGTAATTGCAGACTCACATGTGGTTATAAGTGGTTATAAGACATATATTTCAGAGAAATACACTGTCCAGTTTCCCCCAGTGGTCACGTTTTGTGTAACTTTAGTATAGTATCTGTGTTAGTTTGCTAGGGCTGCCATAGCAAACCACCACAGACTGAGGGGTTTCTACAACAGAAATTTATTTCCTCACAGTTCTCAGAGAAGTTCAAGGTCAGGGCAGGGCTGGTTTCTTCTGAGGCCCCTCTGTTTGGTTTGTATACAACTGTCCTCTCCCGGTCATCCTTCAGATGTGTCTGTGTTGTCATCTGTTATTAGGGCACCGTCATTCTGGATTCATACGACCTCGTTTTACTCTCGTCAGCTCTTTCAAGACCCCACCTCCAACTGCAGTCCCTCTGTACAGTACTCCAGTACAGTGTTGGAGGTTTGGGCTTCAGCGTGTGAATTGGGGTGTGAGGGGGTGCAAGTCAGCCCTTAATGAGCATCACGGTCAAGCTATTGACATTGATGCAATCTGTAGGTCTTCCCCAGTTTTTTGGGGGGGTGTTGTTTTTTTCTTGGTGGAAGGCTTCGCTGCCCCACGGCATGTGCCATCTTAGTTCCCCAACCAGGGATGGAACCCTGGTGTCCTGCCTTGGAAGGCAGATTCTTAACCACGGGACCACCCAGAAAGGCCACATGCTTCCACAGCTTTACTTCTGTACTCATGTGGGTGTCAGGTCTACACGGTTTTATTCCCTGTGGAGGTTCATGTCTCCACAACCATAGCTGCAGCTCCACAAGGTGCTTCATATTGTTTATTCACAACTACATCCGCCATCTGTCTTCCTGCCCACCTACCCCAGCCTCAACCCCTGAAAACCACTAACTGTCCTTCATTTCCAAAATTGTGTCATCACACAAGTGACACAAAAGGAATCATCTAATGCACGTCTGATTTTTTATGAAATTGCCCAGCTGTTATCCAGAGAGGCTAAGAATAGTTTATGTTCCCTCCAGCAGTGTAGGCTAGGTCCAGTTGCCCCACACCCCTGTCCACACTGGGTGTTGTCGCTCTTATTTTAGCCACTCCAGTAGGTGAGTGACCCTGAGTCAGAACAGCTCGAGCGGCCCGAGTTGGTTATCCGCTTCCCCTCGCTGATTCCGGCCTGGTAGAGAAGGAGGTTTCCCTTGAGGGCAGGTTTCACCTGGCTTGGCTCCCATGAGGCTCTTCCGCGCTTGTGGGCGGCCCCCTCTCACTGTGTCTCCTTATAAAGTCCCTGTCCCGTTGGATGAGGACCCCACCTTGTGAGCACAGTTAGCCTTAATGACCTGCTAGCAGCCGTGTCTCCAGACAGGGGTGACTTTGTGGACCCGGTTCTACCCACAGCAGCCACTCTGTTTAGGCCTCCAGCCTCTGACTCCTGGTGAGCTGTGATGCTCTTTGCGTTTTTCTTTCCGGTTTCCAGAGCATTGGTTTGCCCTGTGACTTCAGTTCTCTGATGGATCTCAGAAGAGTTATTGACTCTCAGTTACTCCGCTTTTTCTTTGTTCTTGTTGGGAGTGACGACTTCCAAACTCTTTCCAGGCCAGCGCAGAAATGGTGTTTTGTTTCTCACGTGGGTTTCTGCACGTTTACTGTCAGGACATAGAAGCATAGTAGATTTTCACCTGCTGACCTTGTGTCCTTGCTGAGTTCCGACTCACTCTGGGAGTGCCTTTGTCGCCTCTGGTTTCTCAGACACCTGCTGTACCCTGGAGAGACCCGCAGTTCCCATCTGCCTCTTCCCTCCGCTGCCTGCCTCCCCCTGAGCCTGGCTGATAAGGTGGGAACACCCGCCCTGGGGCAACAGTGATGCACCCGCCTAGCTGTGGATGAACTCTGCTCCGAGGCACAGAGGGCTTCAGACCCTCAGCCTCCAGAGCAATTGCTAGGGAAAAGCAGAGGAGCAAAACATGGTTTGTGTGAAGGCGTGTGACACACGGTTGGAGATAATGAGCTTGCTATGTCACCTGCTGGCTGCTGTTTATCCCAGGCCACACCGCCAGCGTCCATCACGCACCGTCTGCCAAGTGGGTGATTTCATCAGTGTGCTGTGTTTAATGACAGTGATCAGACTGTTGAAGAGAATCACGTGCCTCCGGTTTAGCTAGGGTTTTTTGTTTTTTTTTTTTTTTTCCTTCAACATGTGTAAGATAATGTCAAAAATAACCGTGGGAGAAACGAGAAAATTATGCCAGTTCTCCAGAGCAGTGATGGGGTATGAGTGCTCCTGGCACCCAGCGTTTGGTTCTTGGGGGATAGATGAGAGTTCATCCTCTGCCGAGTGGCCTGAAAGCCCATCACTCTGGGGACACTGAGCGAGCGCCTCACCCAGTAGTTGCTGATAGCAACCCCATCCCCAGCTGTGATGACCAAAATGGTCTCCAAAGATTGCCAAGCATCCCCTGGGGAGAAGAGTGTCCTGGTTGGGACCCCTGGGATGCTGCTGGCCTAAAACCATAGCTTTTCTACCTGTGTTTTCTCCCTTCTTGTTGCAGAGTCAGAAGTGTAGGGATGAACTGTCCCAGCTCAACCACACGGTCCTGCAGCTCGGAGAGGAGGCCTCTGCCCACCAGGCCCAAAGCGAGAAGAAGCACATCACCGGCCAGCTGCTGACACGCAGAGTGGAGGAGGCCGAGCTCGGCAGGAGCTGCAGGTGAATTGTGGGCGGGGCAAGGAGGGGCAGGCAGCCTGGCCTAAAACAGACCAGGGACAGCCCTGATGTGCCTGGAGGTAAAGCGAGGGGCTTCACAAGCAAGCCTTGAAAAGTGTGTAAACGTTAGCAGCTTTTGCAAAGCCTGGTACCTAGAGAAAGTAGCAGAAAGAGATTAAATCCTGATGATAGGAGCCTAAATTGGGATGACCTCTCCAGAGGTCATTATGGCAAAACATTCATGAAGAGTGGTCAAGAACGTTGGTGTGCCCTGACTTCATGATTCCGCTGTGGGAAGTTTACTGAGCATTGTGTATGGACTTAGCTGAATGTATTTTCATTGCGCTGGTGTTTATAATAGCACAACAGAATTGCAATCAGCTTTGAGTCCTAAACCGTATTGACTAAGTCAGTAAATTATGGTGCCGCCATTAATAACCACGTTTTTGAATAGTGTCTAATGCTCTGGACATATGAGAGAGAAAGCATGGCCTACGATGTCGTGGTAGCAGCATGTGTGTGTGTGGAGGAAGGGCCAGGAGATACAGCACGTCGGGTGTGCTGTGATCAGGGATGACAAATTTTGTAATTCTTGCCTTTCTGAAGTTTCTGCATTAAACACGTATCACGTAGCTAATGTTCTTCTTATACTTGTGAAACCGACATTTGAAAACAGGGTAACCAAATCCAAAAACTTGAACTTGACCGTGTGCCTCAGGAATGTCTTAGCCTGAGACTGGCATGGTCACAGCTGAGAGAGGCCCCTGAAGAGAGTCGGGACCAGGTGGGTGTGCACGGGGGTCCCGGGCTGAGAGGGCTCAGGCTCGCCTCTGACCGCCTGCATGGGTCTGGTCTGGCCAAGGGCGTCACGCGGCTGGCTGAGGTCACACGGCTAAGGGGGCGCCCTCCAGGCCCAGGACGCACTCAGGCCTCGTCCAGGGTCAGGTGGAACACAAGTGAACCGTGTGAAGGGCTGTGCCTGTTTGCTCCCGAGGGCAGGAGTCCATACAGCTCCTCTGGGTGCGCCCTCTGCAGGTGGAGGAGCCAGGGAGCATGGCAGGTGGGCTCCGAGGCTCAGGCCGTGGGCGGCGCAGCCCCCAAGGTGACCAGCTTCTCGCCCCCAGCGGAGCCCGGGTGTGACACGCCTGTGGGTGTGCGCCCACTGCCCTGCCCAACGCTTGTCCGGTGCCTGCCAGGCTCAGAGGCGCAGTGGTGGGGAGGCAGGGAGCTCATGGGCTGGGACACACAGATGTGAGCCGAGCAGGCCCAGGAGGGGTGGCGGTGCCTGCCAGCAGCGGTGCCTGCCAGCGTGAGGTGCTGGGACGCAGCGCTGGTTCTTCCGAGGAGCTCGAGCAGGAGGAGAGGAGGGAGGTGACGGTGTGACATGGGGTGCGCTTGGAGGGCCAGGGCCTGCAGGGGGAAGGGGCTGTGAGAGACGGTCTCTAAGCCTCGTGTCTCTGCTCAGCCTGGCACCAGGTTCCCCACCCCTGGACTTAGCTGTGGACACCTGGTGTGAGAGCTCACTTCTCAGGTGGCCTGGGTTGCAGAAGGGTCTGTCTGCATGTGGGACTCCTCCCTGTCCAGGGTCTGAGGAGGGGCTGGCAGACCCCTGTGGGCCCAGCCCCCCACTGTTAGCAGGCACTTTCTCTAAGGTGTCTCTGTGTATAGCAGGCTCCCTTCCCTGTTTGTAGTGCGAAAGGAACCTTGAGAAATTGCCGGACTGGTTTGAGCCTTTGAGGCGAAGACAGTTCCACCCATGGGCAGCAGGGCTGGGCTGCCAGAGGCTTCTATGCCCGCTGGTGAGGGGGAATGCCCAGCACTCAGACATGGGCTGGGGTGACTGCATAGGAATCATCCAAAGCTCTGACACCGCGGGGAGGCGGCTGTGTCTGGTGGAGGGTGTGTGAGAATCTTCCTCCCCTCTCTTCATCCCAGGAGCGTGGCGGCTGCTCAGCAGGGCCCCTGGTGGAGCCGCCACCTCTCCCGTCCACGGGGTCTCAGAGGGCAGTTCTGTGTGCTCCAGACGAGGCCGCCAGAGCCCGTGGTGTAAACGGTGTTTAGATGGCCTCCCAGGTGCTCCGTGCAGGGAAAGCTCTGGACAGCCTGGTGCCAGCGATCCTGTGGGTTCTGTGCCGAGGGAGCAGTGTCCCAGTCCGTCCACATCCACGCCCCGCCAGACGCTGTGCAACCACCTCTGGGGCCCTGGCCACAGCCCGTCTCAGGAGCGTGAGCTCTGCATTTAGAGGGAGGCTGTGTACGTGGTGGGTGTGGGTCCCGTTATGGAAGGAATTAAACCCAGCGAAGAACCCAGGAGGTAAACAGGACAGAATGACTTGATCCTCCCAGGATTCGGCATGAGGTCACTGGGAGGGCTACAGGCAGGCCTTCCAGGCTCTCAGGGTGCAGAAGCCCCTGAATGGACTTTGTGTTAGTTGCTCCGTCCTGTCCGATTCTTTGTGACCCCATGGACTTTAGCCTGCCAAGCTCCTCTGTCCGTGGGATTCTCCAGGGAAAATTACTGGAGTGGGTTGCCATCCCTTTCTCCAGGGGATGTTCCCAACTCAGGGACCAAATCCACGTATCCTGTGTCTCCTGCATTGCAGGCGGATTCTTTACCGTCTGAACTACCAGGAAATGGAATGTGGGCATGAGATAAACAGATTCTTTAGAAATCATGGGCTTTGCCGGACATGCCCTTAGCTTGTGGGGTGGCCTACCAGGTAGAGATGCAGTTTTCTGTGTCTGGTGGTGACCCTGCAGGTCTGGGCAGTCAGCCTACAACCGCTGTGCCTTTTCCCCAGCAGCTGTATGGAGCCACCCAGAGGCTGTGGCTGGCCCGGTCCCAGCACGCCTAGCATGTGCTGCAGCTGCAGGAGGAGATGGCACAGCGCATGCCCGCAGGCCGAGCTGCAGCAGCTGCTGGAAGGGGAGCAGCGGGCGGCTTGGCGGCTCCAGGAGGCGGCGCAGGTGAGTGGGGACAGGGCTGGGGGGGCCAGCTGGGGGTGACAGGGAGGGTGCGCTAGGATCTCAGGTGCCAAGGGGAGGACAGCCCGACAGCCCGACAGCCCTCCCGCCATGTGGGATGTTTGTGGAAGCCCCGGGACCCGACTTCCGCTGGGAACTGGTGGGTGCTGAGTGGCTGACCCTAACGTCCCCCAGCCTGTTTTCTGGGCTGTGTGTGTCTGCAGCCAGCCACACACGTGACCTGCTTCCGGGTCTGAAAGGTGGTGATAGAAGGGCCCCAGAGAGGGATGGGCAGGGATAGCTCTTCAGTAGCGCAGCTCTTCTCTATCATATAGTTCGCCAGTTTCCTCTCTCATGCCAGGATAACAAAACCTGTCATTACATCCAGCATGTCTCTGATTTGTAAGGTTCCCCAAACTAGTCTGAACGCGTGTGGAGGAATAGGAAGGGAGAGCTGGTGGCGTGGTGTGGCTGCGTGAGACGTGCAGTACACTGTGGCTCTCTCCCCTCTCCAGTTTGAAAAGAGCACACGATCAGATCTGCTGCTCAAGGAGCTTTATGTGGAAAATGCCCACCTGACAAAAGCGCTTCAAGTCACTGAGGAGAAGCAACGAAGCGCCGAGAAAAAGTCCCGATTCTTGGAAGGAAAAGATAGAGCTCTCAGCAAACTCCTCAGCAAGATTGCTACAGCATCCCTTGCTGTGTGGACTGCTTCTCTTCCTGGAGTTCATTTTGAAAGAACGTCTTTTAAAGTAAACCAGTGTGACACCGTAACTTCCTGTGGCTCGTTGGCAGTACACCCCTGGCTACATGAGGATTGTCTTTCTGTTTACCCCACAAGCATTTAATGAAGGTCAGGTTGGAAAAGACTATTTTTTTTAGTAGTCCTTGGGTAACTTCCAGAGTTTCCAGGTAACTCTGAATTTTCTTTCAGGAAGTCTGAGAATTATTTCTCCTTCTGGATACTTCTCTTTCTGCTTTCTTATTTTTGTACTGACACATTCTCTCTTGTAAATGATTCTGTTCGTTGATTAACACCGTGTTTCTTTTTTCTGGCATCAGACCTTGTTTCTCACTTTCGGCATGGAGTTTTCTCACGATCTGCTGAAACTGGTCTTAGATGCGAATGACTGTCTTCTCTTTACTGTCGGCTTTGTTTTGTTCATCATCCAGTTGCTTGTCAGAGCAGTGTTTTCACTCTGGAGTTGAGACAGTCTCTTCTCTAAGGATTCCTGCTTTCCAAGGTATTCATTCACTTTGCCGTGTTCATTCTGATACATGTGTTCAATTTCCTGCTTTTGACACTCCGCTTGGTTAAGGTCTCTCTGGACACATTCTAAGATCCAAGTCTTTTCTCTGAGATCATCTCTTGTGCGCTGCAGCTTGATTTTTAGCTTATTGAGTTTATCCTCCACTGTAGAAAGTTGCTGGGAAAGTGCCTTGTTGTTATCTTTTAGGTTCGCCACATCAGACTCCATTTGGTCCTGCAAGCATAACCACTCGTCTTGTGGTCTCTGGAAGGCAAGTTCCAGCTCCACTTGAGTCCCAAGTTATGTTTTAATGATAAGTAGATGCATTTAAAGAGTTGGGAGGCTTTAAGAATGAATGATTCAAGGCTAAAATGTTTCCCATATTGACATCTTTCAAATTGACATGAATAAAAATAAAACGATACCAACAAATATGACACAAAGCTATGACAAGCTACTGAAGCCAAAGTACGACATAGCCTCTGGGAAACCTGCAATTGACTGTCAAGGTAATCCATGTAACTGAAGCTTAATTTCAAAATGTGCATTTAGGTTTGAGCCTGCTTCATCATGATACTGACATATGGTAACATAAAAATTAAAATTAGTACAAGTAAAAGAGTAAATTACTAATATCTGTCTGTATAAACAATCTAGAACTGAATTTCTTAATATTTCATAAGACACGATGTCTCGAGTCAAAATAAAGCATTTCTCGGGTCTAATTTTTATTTGCTGGATACAAGGTGTGCTTTTAGCCTGGATTAGAGACCATAGATTCACAGCCTGTGTATTTTTTCATAGTCAACTAGATTCAACATTTAGCCGGAATCTAGTCACAGCAGAATCTAGTCAAATTCAGAACTCTGAATTTTCTTTCAGGAAGTCTGAGCCTCATTTCTCCTTCTGGATACTTACTTCTCTTTCTGCTTTTAAATGATTCCGTTCATTAATGATTAACACCGTGTTTCTTTCTTCTAGCATCAGACCTTGTTTCTCACTTTCGGCATGGAGTTTTCTCACGATCTGCTGAAACTGGTCTTGGATGCCAGTGACTGTCTTCTCTCTACTGTCGGCTTTGTCTTGTGCCTCATCCAGTTGCTGTCGGAGCAACATGTTTTCACTCTGGAGTTGAGATAATCTCTCCTCTAAGGATTCCTGCTTTCCAAGGTATTCATTCACTTTGCCGTGTTCATTCTGATACACGTGTTCAGTTTCCTGCTTTTGACACTCTGCTTGGTGAAGGTCTCTCTGGACACGTTCTAATGTCAAAAAGTCTTTTCTCTTAAGATCATCTCTTGTGTGCTGCAGTTTGATTTTTAGCTTATTGAATTTACCCTCCACTGTAGAAAGTTGCTGGGAAAGTGCCTTGCTGTTATCTTTTAGGTTCGCCACATCAGACTCCATTTGGTCCTGCAAGCATAACCACTGGTCTTGTGCTCTCTGGAAGGCAGGTTCCAGGTCTCTTGGTGATGTCTGACCTCGACCAGGATCGTGTGAGGCAGCAGCCAGTCTAGAACAGCAGGATTTCACTTCTGTTTCCAGTCTTTGTTTGCTGGCTTTTTTGTTCTCCAGCTTAGACTAGCGTCATATTCTCAGCTGCCAGAACATTAGGCTGGCCTGTATCCTGGGATATAGTCTTTGTTAACATTTCCTCAGTCAGTTTTACCGCCTTTTGAGCATCATCACTCTTTGCTTTGACAATTTCAATGTCCTCAAAATAGTTCTCTTCCTTTTCCAGGTTCTGACTTTTCACTGCATCTATTTCCAGTCTTAGGCTGGCAATTCCTTCCTGCAGAATGTGGTTTTTGTACAACAGGTCTTTTGCTTTTTCATGACCAGCAGAAGCCTAAGTGAAACAAAGGAGATTGTTAGCTAGTACACAAAGTAATATTTCATGATTTCCTCTGAAATGAAAGATTATCCTGTCTGTTTATACACTGAAAAGGCTGCACCAAGTGTGTCTCCAACTGGAAAAAATAAGGTTCGATACAAACCTCAGATTTTATAAAAGCAGAAATGTTCAGACGTTCGAAACTTTAATTGAAGACAATGAATCCCTGAAAGTCAAAAGAAATCCCAAGACACTTTTCAAGAAGCTCAGCCCTGGAGAGGCTTTTCTCTGAACTACAATAAACCCAGAAGGCTTAAAATAAAAGATTTCTAGATCTGACTGCACTTAAACATTGCATCTGATGGGGAATATTTATACAATGGAAAATTACTAACTCACAAAAAAGAATGAAATAATGCTCTTTGCAGCAGCAAGGATGGACCTAGACATATCACCCTAAGTGAAGTAAGTCAGACAAAGACAAGTATTATATCATACTGCTTATATGTGGAATCTAAAGTGAACTTATTCACAAAACACAAAGACACAGAAAACAAACTTAGGGTCACCACAGGGGAAAGGGGAGGTAGGGGAAGGGATAAATTTGGAGGTTGGGATTAACATATACACAATAGTAGATACAAAATAACCAACAAAGATCTACTGTACAACATAAGGAACTACACTTAATATTCTGCAAGAAGAATCTGAAAAGGAATATGTGTGTATGTGTGAGTGAGTGTGTGTGTTAGTCACTCACGCATGTCTGACTCTTTGCGACCCCATGGACTGGAGCCCGCCAGGCTCCTCTGTCCATGGCATTTCCCACGCAAGAATACTGGAGTGGGTAGCCATTTCCTTCTCCAGGGGATCTTCCCAACCCAAGGATTGAACCCAGGTCTCCTGCACTGCAGGCAGATTCTTTACAGTCTGAGCCAGCAGGGAAGCCCCACCCCATTTATGTAATACACACACACATATACAAATACATCTGAGTCACTGTGCTGTATACCTGAAACTCATGCAACATTGCCAATCAACTATAATTCAATAAACACCACCACTTGCTAGCTTTGTAAACACTGCAAATGATACCTCCTATAGAGCTGCTTCACAGTAAGAGTGTTAACTCTTTGTATATATTTAAACAGATAAAATTTCATACAAAGGTTTTCCTTGAGAATATGCTACCTTCTAACATTTTAATAGGCAATTACAAGAATTACACCTATTGACAAGTGTACTAAGTACTTCTACAAATGTCAATTAACTCATTAGCTATAATGATTCTGGCAAGGGAGAAGTTAAAACTATAAGTAAGCTGCAGGCTTTTCGCCAGGTCCTCTGACTCTACTAGTCCCCTTACATCAAACCACAGTTACTTCTCTAGTACAAACATATAAATACAAAATGAGCCTCCTTTTCCATTCATGGCACATACACTAATGGTAAATAAGGTAAAATTTAGAGAGCTCTTCTTAGAAACCATGAGATGATTTGCTGCGGCGATAAATTTCATTCTCTCTCCATAATGTTTAACATGGTAAGATGGGGGAAATACAATGAAAAACACTTAATAACTATCACTAAATCTACATTATGGCATCTCTGTCACTGCTTTCAGAAGTTCCTTGTACTGAAGTCAGACACTACACTACACAGAGTGTTCATTTTCTCACAAATAGAAGAATGACATCCAAAATATGGTCTCTGAACTACCTATAGTTTCCTCCTTACCATCAACACAAGTGATGATAAACTAACCTAATGATCGGTAAAGAAAGGAAATTCACCACCACCAAAACCCAGAATAACTATTGTAGCAACTGCTTTTTTTCCCCTTGGTACGGGGGAGGCACTTTTATAAGTTTATTCAAGAAACAACTGTTTTAAGTGTTGAAAAGTGCTTCTACAACAGACGTCTCAGTTATCTACAAACTGAGAAACTATAAATGATGTGAAAAGGTCGTTGACAGGGCACTGGTTACAGAAATGACAGTGAAGCCAGGAGTGGCCTCTGATTTAGACACTGGAGGTGAGGACATGCATGCAGTCACAGACACGCTCACCCCAGAGCAGAGGCACTTGGTCAGGTAGCACAGTCGATGTGGGGAGCACAAGCAGTCTGCCTGGCCTAAAGCGCAATCAGGCTCCCGGCTTCTTCGAGACAGTCGTGAATGGTTTGAGATCAATTCCTATGGGAAATAATAAAGGCCTCTCCTTGAACGAGGCCATTGTATGTCCCTACTTGACTGCTGTAGACAAATGGATGTGAATTACAAATAGGACTTTCCTGAGCTCTCCCCGAGAGGTTTTCGTTGTGGGAGATCTGCTGCTAGGACCTTGGGGATGGGACCCGGTCCGTGTCTGAGAGGGACATCGGCTGGGGAGTGAATTCCTCTGCTCTGAGATGCCACTCGACAACTCTGCAGAATGGAGGACAACCAACTTCAAGAGTGTTTGGTTTCTACCAACTGCTGGAAAAAAAAAATTCCACCGGGAGCATTCCTGCACCTCTAGAGGACACCAGTGAACACCAGACCTTGAGGACTCTACTGTGAGGGAGAACCCAGCTGGGAAAGCTGGAGCCAGCTCTGAGCTGTTCACAGCGCAGGTGGACTGGAGGGCTGAAGGGCACAGAGGGAGGGGGTCCACGACCCTCAGCCACCTGCCAGATTGAAGGCCAGAGGTAACGATGTAAAATTAGGCACGATCTTCCCTCCCCAAGCCCCTTCTCTTCTAGACCTATTCACTCACCAATGGTCCTTCAAAGCAGAAGGATCTGTCACCTGAGGAGAGCGAAGAGCTTAACCTCCAGTTTCTACACCAATCTCAACCCTGTGGTTTCTCAGTAACTATTGTGTGAGCTACTGACATGACCTCTTTCTCCCTCTGACCGAAAAACTGCACCCAACATTTCAGGATTATAGAACTCTTATTTCCAGCCTTGTTACTTGGGGAATTTTGAATTTCTTTGCTTTTGTTTTTAAGAAGTAACCTAAAATTTCCTGTAACACTAAATAAATGGCACAACACTAAATAAGATGGTACTTTTCCAAAAAAGGGGACATGATAAATAATATTCAGAAAGTCTTAGAAATTTGAAGTTTTCACCACAGATTGCTCTACCTGATTCCAGTTGTTTCTCACAGTCTTCAGTTCCATTTCGAGTGCTCGGAGACTGAATTCTAATTGCTGTTTCATTTCAATTTCTTTACTATGTTTGTCTTCTATTCTTCTTAACTGCTCCCTAATTTTTTCATATGACATATTAGCATTTCTTCTCTTCTCTTCTTCTTGCTTTAAGGCGAATCTGAAAAATTAGAGAGCTCTTCTTTGAAAATCATGGGATTATTTGCTGTTGCTGCAATAACTTTCATTCCCCCTTCACAATGTTTAAAATAATAAAAATGGGGGGAATGCAATGAAAAACACTTAATAATGATCACTGTTTTCATACACAGGGTTAAGAATCAAATTGCATACAACTTTGTTATTCTTTTGTCTTGAGAAAAATGGCTACTTCATACATCTGTGGGTGGGAATGTAAAGTAATATAAACTTTTCGAAGAACAGTTTAGAAATGTAGATCACAAGCCTTTTTAAAACTTCTCATACTTTAACCAAATAACACAATATCATTAAAGAAAAATGTATTCAAAATAATTTGAAAAGGCAGAAATGAATTTACAGAAAAGACATTCCTTCACAGAAAAGTGAAAAACAACCGAAAGTCAGTTTGGTAGATAACTAATGGGGATTCCATTATGGTGGACTCCTGTATGGTCATGAAAACAATGATTTGGAAAAATATACATTAAGCTATAAGGAGCATTCACTGTTAAGAACCTGCTATATTATTTCCACGAATTTCACACTCTACATTTTTTTCTCCTGTAAAATCCAAGAGGATAAGTTAGTCCTTATAACACGCCTACATCTCTGCAGTATTAAACGAAACAACAGCTCAAACATTTTTTTAAAAGCGAGATGTACGGTACCTCAAGCTGCTGAGCTCTCGTTCCCACTCTACTTTCTGATGCTCTAACTGTGATTTTACTTCTGTGGTTTCTGACAGCTCGTTTTGTAGCCCATGAACCTTACTTTTCATTTTGTAAATTTTTCCTCTAAGTAGTTCACAGTGACTTCTTTGAAAATCTACTGATCTTTCATAGGAAAAAAATGCATCCCGAATTTTCAACAAGCTACCAAAATCTGCATGATGAAGAAAACAAAGATAGACACACACACAAAATTATGTGAGTAATTTTCGAATATAAAGAACTGTGCCTTTCACAGTCACTCATCCAGGCACTGAACAAATATTAAGTGTCTATAAAGTGGGAGACATTATTCTAAGATCTGAAGATAACATAGACGCCCCTGGCTCTTGTTTAGCTTGAAGTCTAATACAAGAGAAAGACAAATCAAACAATTATGACATCAGATAGATACTATAAGAGAGACAGTTCTATGATAACATAACAGAACTTGACACAGATTGGGTCCAGGAAAGACTTCCCTGGGGCAGAGGTGTGTCACTGAGACACGAAGGATGAGCAGGAAGTGGTGAGCAGAGGAGGATGAACAACCCCGTGGACAGTCTCCAGCTGCCATGTGTTTCTACCAAGACAGAGGGAACAGCCATGGGTTTACCTTCCTCAGTGGAGCAAGCAAAAACAACACCGACAAAATACAGGAAACAATGAATTTCATGACAAAGGACTTCAGGGAATGAAGGACAATGATCCCGGAAACACAGGAGGTTAGCCTAAGGGACGCCCCAGCTCATTGCCTGGAGAGAATTTCCAGGCCCTGACACGGGGAGAAGGAATGGAAGCTGAGTCCACCGGACTTCCAAAGTGGAGGTGATGAAGCTGAGAGTCTGGGGAAACCAACGCGGGCAGAGATCGCAGGTCAGAACCGTGGAGAGGAGAGAGCGGAACACAGAAAAACGACCCTGGAGATCTGGGGAGGAGCCCCTCAGGTATTAAGCAGAGGAACGAACAGTGCGC